CTGTTCAACAACAAGGGGCTGACTTGCTCGCTTCCTCCTGGCCATTGGGAAAATGTTATAGATATAGTAATTGGAAAAAAGCACCAAAACAAAACACAGACAAATAAACAAGAACATACTTTGGCTTATCAGGAGTGTAACGGCATTTGACAGATCCCACTCTGTGCCCAAGTTCCTGGCACAACTTGCATATGTTTTTGTTACCTTTTTGGGCCCTTTTTGGCTGTCCATCTTTATTTCCCTTCTTACTACTCCCACCTTTCTCAAACCATGCCTTGAATCTACTATGTTTAGGCCTGCCAGCCTTTCTTTTCGTCAAGGGAGGACACATGGAAAATTCAATGTCCACTTCAGGCCACTGAGACTGATCTGTAAGTGCTGGAATTGGAGTAGCATATGCCGCTTTGAATCTTGCTACCGAATAATATTCATGCAAATATGGGTGCATGTTTATCTTCGGTTGGGATGCTAAGAAGAGAATGGCATGCTCACATGGTTTACCAGTGTGTTGCCACTCGAGGAAAGTGCAATCATGCAATTCAGTGTTAATAACATGTCTCCTTCCAGTTTTGTTATCTCTAACTTCAGCACCCCAAGGTGAAGATTTTTCAACAAACAAATGTGAAAGACATCTGCTCCTATTGACCACCTGTTGTACCACTGCTGGAAGCTTATCACCTTGCAGACAATCACCTATCCTTCTTCTCAATTCCCACAACCGCATGAGCATGATCCTGATTTGGTCAACCATGTCATGCACAGGCAAATCTTTTAACTCCTTCACCTTGTTGTTGAAACTCTCTGCCAAATTGTTGTTGATGTGGTCACACTTGATGGCAGTGTTGAATGTTGACCTGTACCATAACAAAGAATGGTAGGTGTTCAGCCATGGACCAAACTCATCACATGCTGCCATTATCTTATCAAGATGATATTTGTGTGTCTGTCTAGTGTAAGATCTTGTTGCTGGCCACATGCGCCCAAATTCTTCTCCTCTAAATTTTTTGATCAAATTCATCCACAAATGACCGAAGCACTCCCTCTGCTCAGCATGTGGGAAAACATTTTCACTGAATTTTCAAGCCCCTTACATGCATCTGTGTGTATAGCCAAAGGTGACACTGGCCCTAGGCATCTTTTCAACTGGATCATGAACCATGTCCATGAAGCCTCTGTTTCTGATTGAAACAAGCCAACAGCAATAGGAAACATCCAGTTGTGTCCATCTAGAGCATTGCATGCCGCCAACTGACCATTACACTTGCCTGTCAAAAATGATGAGTCTATGCTCAAATATGGATGGCACCCTGATTTGAACCCATCAATGCAAGGCTTCAAAGCCATAAAAAACTTGGAGAACTTGACTTCACCTTTGGCTGATACCTCTGTATCTATCTCCACAACACTGCCAGGTGACCTCTTTTCCACCTCTGCTTCGAAGTTGTAAAGCATCCTAAATGTATTTGCCCAATCACCATATAAATTTTTCATTGCCCTTTGTTTTGCCTTTCACAGCGTGGTATATTTCAGTTTAATGGGGTACATATTTTCCAAGTCTACTTTGAGTTTCTTCGCAGTAGTGTTTGGTGTTTTGGCTAAAATTGGGGTGATCTTTTCTGCAACCCAAAGTTGTGATGTCATGGTTGATACTCTCTGTGAACTTGTAATACAAGTATGTTGATTGGGGATTTGGTTAACCCTGACTGTACTTCCATCAGGTTGCAGTCTAGCAGATATGTACCACTTGCAAGGCTTCACACTACCATCAAATCCTCTGCACCTCGCATAAAACTTCTTTCTATCAGTCCAAACAGTCTTGGCATCAAACTCATGTTTCACTGCATAAGTCTTGAAACACATCCTAAACTCCTTCATGCTTGCGAACAACTTGCCTACTTCAATGACAAGGTTTTCTTTGTCATACACATGCACCAGCTCATCATCATGTGCATCATCTACTTCATCTGCAGCTTGTTCCATCAACTGTCCATCTACTTCTTCATCAGCATTAGCAGGCAAACTAGATTCACCCCTCTCCTGCTTATCTCTGTCATCGACTGGAATGCCAAAAAGTTTGGCCATCTCAATGTCAGGCATTGGTGCAATGACCAAATCAGTAGTCTCATCTAATTCAACTACATTCCAATCAACAGTTGCTGCAGTTTCAGTTTCAGTTCCAGTCACTTGTCCCTCTTCGGCTATTACTGTAAGTTCAGTACACATTGGAATCAATGGCCTCTGTGTAGCCCAATCATCATCTACCATCTGCGCAGCCAATTATGATGGCACATATCCAACCTTCGAAAAAATGTTCAGATCAACGAGCTCAGCAAAAAAATTAGCCCGTTTGCTTGTCCAGCCATTTTGCCGATCGATTTCTTCAACAATCTGTTCACCATCTTCTATTCTCACATACTCTCCTTTCCAATCATCAAACCTCAACAGTGATACTTCTTGCTCTGGACTCCAAGCAACATTCTCCCCAATTTTTCCACCCATTTCTTCACTGCCGTCTCTCCCATGTTCTGTAGAATTTGTGGATCAATCTCTGTAAACTCAACCTCCCATTTAACAATTGTGTCTCTCTCAATGTTCTGTATGCTACCATCAACTAATTTTGCCTTTGATGGAAAGAAATTAACTGTCAATTCGAAGGTCCGAGCGGTAGCATCCCCTCTGTCAGTGGCGGACAGTGTGAGCCCGTGAGGAAAAAGGGAAAAAGCAGACGAGGCCACCCCCTAATTGCATGCAAAATTGGATCGGGGAGAGGCGCATTACCTATTCGAAGTTGAATCTGGCGGCTCCATCTCAGTATGCCCACGGGCTCCCCTCACAACCTATCGATTCCGCAAGCGAAAACAGAGGAAACGAGCTGAGACTACGGGTCCGAGAGAGGAACGAGAGGGCGACTAGGGTTTGAATTCACTCACCATTTTCTGAGGATGAAGGCTCCGCCGCCGTTGAGAACGAGGGCTCCGCCGTCGCCACCGAGAACGCAAGATCCGCCGCCACCGGAGAAGAAGGGGGGCAGAGTGGCAGGCCTGGCACGGTCGGGCGGCAGGGCACGGTCAGCTGTTTTGACGAACAATTAAGTTGGACCCACATGTCCTAACATAAACGGGCGGGCTTGGTTGACGACCAATTTAACCACATTTAACAGCCATGTCGTGCGTGGGCTATTTACCTGCTCAAAATTGTCGCACCACAGCCATTCCCTCGAACAACATCACACTCTTGCCAATTCACCTCAAATGTGTCGCACAGGAGCTATTGGCCCGATTTATTTTGGATGATGCCAAAGACACATTCTGAAAAGAGAGAGCCTCAACAAGTCAAGAGTTAATTTGAATGATGCTCCTGGCAGGTAAACAAATAAGCATACAGTAAGTACTAGGTAATTTCTCAGTAAATTGGAAGACAAATGCATGCATCCAGAATTCCAAATCGCAGTACACACATAATTTAGTTATGCATTGCGAGGTCTACACCAATCAAGTATTCTTAGGCCACTAAAACTAGAAATTAAAATTGCGAATGGCTGTGCGTCATACACTGTCATCACTCTACCTGCTGCAAGCCTAGGATCCCTATGATGCTATTAGCATTCCTTGACAATATAGTATCGATCAACATATTATTATTGCCACGGACGAGGAGGATCCATGGGTGAGTCGCTCCTTAATCCGACGCCTGCCATCCTTTTCCACGTTGGATCTTCCAAGGTCGATGGTGTTGCAGTCCTCGCATGGGTATTCACCATGCAGCTGGATTCTCTTCAACTCCTTAGCTCGTTCCATGACAAGCCTTATATAGTTTGTCACCCTGTCTTCATCCTCGCACCCGAAGATCAGCAACACCTTCAAGTTCAGGTGCTTCAAATCCTTGGATAGCTCCCAGACCACGTTGGTCTTTTGGGCACTGCTCTCGGGTGTTTTGACACATGAATGTCGAAATAACTGCATGCGAGGAGATAGAATTACAAGTAACACAGGTTAATTAAACTGCAGGGCAATGTAACAACATTTGCAATTAAATATAAGTTTAGACCCCTGTAGAGTTTTGGAGGAATTTGCATGAACTAAATCTAAGGTAAAGTACGACAGGAATATGCCTCCTACAGCTATATTATTCATGTTTCTTTCAATGAAGACACATTATTATAACACAGAATTTCAATCAAGAGGGCTATGTGCATCAGTTGATGCAGAGGGCAAGCCTTCCCCCGTTTTAGAAAAAAAAAGGGAAAATTGTGGCTACAGCAGAGAGCACAACACCCACCTATCTAACCATCCATTTTGTGCCCCGGCGATCTGTGCGTAAACACATCTCTCTTTTCTGTTTGTCCCAAACCAAACAACATTTGGACTTCAAACTTTGCAGATGAGCATTTAGAATTAAAATGTGTGAAAAAATTCGGAATTTTTGGTGCATTGTAAATCATTAAAACATTTTTTCTTAATAATAATAATAATATCATATTTTATATATTTATGTTGGACCAAAATTTCGAAAGTATTTTCTAGACATTGTAATCCTCAAGTTATATTGGCCCACAAAGTATGAAGCCCATATGTTTTTTCATTTTGGAGAAACAAAAAAGAGAATCCTTCATATAGTAAATTAGTTGTTTACCACATATCTCAAAGCAATGTTAGATGGTACAGATAAGGGGTACAGTGCACCTAGGTACGAAAAGAAACGTCGAATGAGCCATACCCAGGATAAGATGTGGATTTAATTAAATGTAACACTTACTGTAATACTCCGCAAGGCAGGTGCAGCATCAAGTGTAAACAGCGTCCAGCTTAGATCACACACGGAACATACCCAAAAGAAACACAGTGGTCAAGTTTCTGAATATAGCAGCAAGGTTCTTCGGATGTTCTGGCTGAATCCAAATCTACAAGAAGAACAGAAATACACAGCTGAAATTGGTACGGAAGAACATATGACATGTAGATGTAGAAGATATTCATGGCATGTGTATAAATTAACTTTACCATTTGGTGGCCAAAATTAAGTATCAGTCTCGACAGGTTCTTGGCACTCCTTGATAGACACTCACTCAGTTTGAATGGTGCCTGCCATGCCATGGCTTTATTAAAAAGACTTACATCACGAAGCTCTGGAACGTAGCCCAAGCGCACTGGAGGGTTTTCGAAGGGCCAACATACGCACCGCACTTGCCTAAGCTTACGGACAGAGATGAGCTCGATCCACGTGCACATAAAGTAGATGAACTTGAGCTCCTTGATTCCGGAACAAGGCGTGTCAATCTTGACCGCGGAGTGCTTAACCAATCTGCAACAACTCAGGGTGAGGTGGTCGAGCCTATCACAAGCGTTAATGAGATTTGTGACGTCGGAATGTCCAAAAGCAAGGTTCTCAAGTGTAAGCCTTGTGAGTCAAGATGGCAACGGGGACGAAACCCACCGGGTTTTGCTTGCCCAAACCCATCCCCACGAGAAAATCACAAACCCGTCCCCATCCCCATCAACATGCGCGGGGTTAAATTTTTGCCCGTCCCCTAAACCCATCGTATTTTCAAAACCCACGGGGAATCTGTCCCCACGGTCAGTCAATGAAAACAACAACATTTGAAAGAAAAACAGGAGCATATTACAGCAGCAGGAAATGGCTGGGGGACCTAGGTTTAGGTTTAGGTGTCGTGTTGTACAGGAGAGAGAGAGTCCTAAAGAGCGAGCAACACTGCATCGACCGAGTGAGGGGTTGGTTTGTACTCCAGGGCCTCGATGTTGTGGGGCTCGGCTCCTCGGGCACTGTGGCTTTGGGCCACTTGAGTCAAGATGGATCAGTGCGTGCTAAATAATGTATTTTGACGGGTTTTGTCGGGTTTCGGGTTCCGGTAGTACTCAAACGGGTTTAAACCCGTGAAACATGCCGGGTTTAATAATGTACCCGCGAGCAGCCCCGCGGGGATAGAAAGTCGCCCATCCCCGTCCCTTAATAGGGTAAAAACCCGCGGGAACGCGGGTTTCGAGGCCCCATTGCCATCTCGACTCGTGAGACATCGAAAGGTGACCCGGCAGGAGCGGGAGAAGGACATGAACTGCTTCCCAAACCTCGTTTTGTTCCCAGACGACAGGGATATGTTAAACTCGAGCCTTTCAGTCGCGTTGTGGGTGACGACGTCCTCCACGGCGCGGCCAATGGAGCAAAGGTGAGTGGATGACATGTAGAAGCTGAGACTTAGGGTCTTGATGGCACGACTGCTGTTGCAGTCAGCCGCAGGAGAACACGTGGACAGCAACCTGCGCATCGCGCCCATGAAAGCATCCATGGTCTTGAGCGGCGTGGCGCCGGGGAAGTGCCCAACATCGAGGTGCAGGTGCGATAGCTGGTGCGGGAGGTGCTGCCACCGCGTCGAGACCATGCCGGCGCGGACCACCGAGGGAAGGTCGACCTGTTCGAGGATTCCGAGGAGGAGGTGGTCCGAGAGCGTGCTGATTCTGTCCTCATCCCGGCCGATGTCGATGTTGGACAGCGTTGACTCCGTGATATGATTGGAATGCCGATTGAGCGACTTGTTGCGCTTGCGCGACGACAGAGAGTTGAGGCGACGGCCCGATCGCAATTCCATTGGTTGCCGCAGCCGCAAGCAAAACCCTCCTGGTAACAGGCCCTGTTTGGTTCATAAGTCCTAGGACTTTTTTTAGTCCCAACTTACAAGTCTCAAGTCCCTAAAAAGTCTCTACCTGTTTGGTTCCTGTGACTTATAAGTCTCTATAAGACCATATTACAACTATGACCCTGTTTGGTTCATAAGTCCTATGACTTTTTTTAGTCCCAACTTATAAGTCCCAATTCCCTAAAAAGTCCCTACATGTTTGGTTTCTGGGACTTATAAGTCTCTATAAGACCATATTACAACTATAAGTCCCTATAAGTGCCTCCTTGAGAGTCTTATTTCATAAATCCCAAATGCCCACTTTAAGTCCCTATAAGTCCCTCCTGTTTGGTTTAGATGAGACTTATAGGGACTTATTTAAGTCCCTAGATCAATAAGTCCCTGGAAACAAACACCCTCTATAAGTCTCTATAAGTTCCTCCTCGAAAGTCTTATTTCATAAGTTCCAAATGCCCACTTTAAGTCCCAATAAGTCCCTCCTGTTTGGTTTAGATGGTACTTATAGGGACTTATTTAAGTCCCTAGACCAACAAGTCCCTGGAAACAAACACCCTCGTAGAGGAGGATTCTTGATGAGCTCCTATAACAGAATAAAGTCGTGGTTGATTAGCCTCTTGCCAATTAATCAGCGCACTTTTTTTTCTACATGGAATTAATCAGCACAAAGACAAACATAATTCCTGCCTTGGCACAGTAGGATTCTTCGGAGTTTCCTAGAAACTGAATTGAATAAATCCACAAAGATCATTATTGCACACAAAATAGATCATCCACATCCATCGACCTCTTCTCCTCCTAGCTCGTGCTTTACCTAGGATTTAGTTCATGCAAGATCCTCTCAAACTATACAGGGGTCTAAACATTGAGACCTTTTTTTGCGGGTACAGACCTTTTAGAGTGCATCAGATCAATACTAACCATTTATTTATGTGTTTAGACCGCCCAGATATGGAAATACTACTGTAGATTTTCGGTATTATATTTTGCATTGAGGGGCAATTTTGGTATTTCGCTGTGTAGCCCTCCTGGTGTCCTAGCCGGCAGTCGGCGGCGGCAAGATTGCCCCGCCGTTTGTGTTCCCACTAGTAGAAAACTGGGCTTTGATCCAGGCCAGATAAATGCATTAGTCCTGTTTGTGTTACGAACCGGGACTAATGGTTGCATCAGTCTTGGCTCGTGAGGCCAGGACACCGGCCGGGCCTCGGCAGACACCAGTCCCAGTTCGTCTGATCCCTTTAGTATCGGTTCGTGTCTGGAACCGGGACTAAATGTCAGTCTTCTGTCCCGGTTCTAGCCGCAAACCGGGACTAAAGAGATGCCTATACGTATGCTCGCCCCTTCCCGCTCACCTCTTTATTTTTTGGCTGACCCGTGTGGGAGGTGTGTGTTGCTCTGCTCTCACCTCCTATGCACATGAGGTGTTCGATGAAATGGCTGAGCCATACATAAGTTGTCGGTGTACAAAAGTAGGGGGCTCCCCTTTTGCACCCCTTTACTTGTGCACGGACAGTCAGGGCCGCTCCCACGGCCACACTAAGCAGGGCAGAGGAGGGAAGCCGGAGCACAGGACGACCAAAGCAACGCCAAGACCAGAGGTGCAAAGAGAGCAAGAGGGCGAGGTGGACTCCCCCGGCAAGACCCTTGCCGGGGTGGCTTCCGCAGCCTCGGCAAGATCCTTGTCGGGGAAACTTGCCTGACGACAGCAGAGCGCGCCGCCCTTGAGCCCAAGGGGTTCCAACACCATCAACCATATTGGAACCAAGGCTCGGGAGGCACCTCCGTGATGGCATGCAGATCTTTGTAGAGATCATAGATACACAAGATCAGATGGGAACCAGAAGGCGACGATCCTTGGTGAGACCCTTGCCAAGGAAATCCACGAGACCCCCGGCAAGATCCTTGCCGGGGACGACCGCGGTGCCGCAGCGAGACCCTTGTCGGGCCCTCGGCAAGGCCCTTGCCGAGGATGCCTGTGAGGCCGCAGCCAGGCCCGCGTCTGCCAAGACTCCACCGCCGCTCCCATACAGCTGCCAGCTCGACCAGCTGGGCAGGCATCTGCGTGGCAGCGCGCTGCTTCTACACCAACTCAGCAAGCACCTACGTGGTGGCATGCAGATCTTTGTGAAGGCTCCACCACCGCACCAGCCCAGCAGCCAGCCAACGTGGCACTACAACGCCTCATCAGCTTGGACGCGCGTCGAACCCAGGCGAGGCGACGACAGCTGGTACGAGCTTCTTTGCCGTCCCCAATAAAGCAAGAGGGGCACGTCAGCATCGCATTAAATGTGTTTGTCCGACGACGCCAGGAGATAGAATCAGCCCCTATACACCTTTCCACCTCCTGTGTGCCACAGTGGCAACCCCTTTTTTGTCTATAAAAGGAGGCCCGAGGCATATTAGAGGGGGATTTCGGATCTTTGGGCTAGACACGCACCGTAACTAGTTCAAGAACACAAGAACACCCAAATATACATCAAAGCAGGACTAGGGTTTTACGCGTCTCGGCGGCCCGAACCTGAATAATGATTTGTGTGCTGACCGCCAGACCCGCTCTTTGCACAACCCGCACCCGCCAACCATAGACGGGATCCCAGTGACCCCATAGGTGTCGTTTCCCACCGACATCTCTGGCACGCCAGGTAGGGGCTGCGCGGTTGTGGAAATCTGGTCTTGTTGAAGCAGCGGCTTCATCATGGTCGTCACTCCAAGGAAGCAGATGACGGAACAAGTGGCGTCCTCGATGGACGCAGTGAACGCTCACGCAGCGGAAGGAAAGCGAAGTCATGCAAAACTTTGAGTAGTTCCTTTTTATATATAAAGGTTATCGTCCCCGACGATCTTGCCCTTTGTATGGAAAACCTGCATGCAATGGGGCCCTGCCACTATTGGCAACACCCTCGTCCTGTTTCGAGTCCTCTCAATAGTTCGAGCGGCTCCATCGAGAACAGCGGGGGTGACCCTCTGCGATTGGCAACGCTCTCGTTCCGTCTCGAGTCCGCTTGACAGCTCAAGCGGCCGCGTTAAGAGGAGTGAGGTGGTTTGCCAGGCAGCAAGCATATCCAGTAGGCCATTGGGGATCCGTCCTCAAGGCGCCGCGGCCTGGGTTTCAGCGCCGGCAAGCCAACCCGGTTAACGTAGGGTGGACATACACAGGGAGATCAAACGGGAAAATAATATGCATCGTTTCAAAAGCACTGCAGAGTTATATTACACCAATAGTTGTTGTGGTTCTAACTAAAGATAGAAATTGTCTTGGTCATGAACCTGTAGGGGCGATAAGAAACGGGGTGCCTAGTCCCGGCGCTGGCCTTCTATCCTCCGAACTCCGTCGATGCGGCTGATGACGGCCTCGATACGCTCCTCGAGCGGCACGAGGTCCACACCCTCCGGCAAGCTCTCCAGAACAGCGTCGAAGTCGAGGTCGGGATTCCAGTACACCACCTTGGTGAGGACCTTGGTCATGGCACCCCGGCAAAGCCTTTGGGCCACCTCGGCCAGAGAGGCCACCCTGTTGGAGCGGAACCGCTCCAGGGCCCCGAGAACACCCTCAAAGAACAGAGTTAGCCTGGCATTAGGACTCACGTCTGGCTCCGGGACATACCTCATGTTTGACATCCCCATGGTAGCCAACTACGTGGTGATCCTACCGGCGACATCGGTGAGGTGGCTGACCCAGAGGTTCTCGCCCGCCACAAAATCTGTGTGGTTGGTGCCGTCGTTCTTCCGCAGCTGCCTCTCCTCCTCCAGATTCTTGGTCAGGGTCTCCTCCCGGGCCCTGACCTCCGAGAGCTTCTCCTCAAGACCCTCCAGTTTCAGCTTCAGGTCCTTGATGGCCTCGTTGGCCGTGGAGAGTAGCTCAACCTTGTCGAGGACTGCGACCTGCGCGTCAGCCAAGGCGCCTTTGGCCGCGTCCCTCTCCCCCCCGTCTTGCACCCCCACAGGGGCTTGAAGTTGTCCCGGAGATGGGCCGCGTCGACCGTCGAGGGGAAGTAGGTGAGGTGCGTCCGCCGCACCGCCAACTCACTCTCCGACGGCTCCTTCCCCCCGGCGTCTTTGGCCACTCCCTTGCCTTTGCTAGTTTTGGGTGCCATGGTGGCTGCGAGAGGCGAAGGATGAAGGACGGCGAAGACGCGGTGGCAGCAAGCGGAAGCAAGAGCTTGAGAAGGAAGAAGGAGGGGACGATGATTCCAAGATTGGAGAAGGCACAGAGGGTAAATGAGCAGCGCGCCCACAGTTATTCCTTTATATGGGGAAGGCGTGGGCCACCTCTTTACCATTTACTGAAACGTGATGCATGCGTGCGGAAACCGCCCCACGCATGATCCCCACGTCATGCATGACCCCCCCTCCCCACGTCGCACGTTCAACGCGGGTCGTGAGGAAGCGCAGCGGACGGAAAAGTTACTGCGGTAAAAATCCTACCCACCTGCCCACGCACCATTCTGGGCCTAGCCCAACAACGCGTCGCGCTTATGTGTGGCCCAGGCCCGGGGGCTCCTGCAGGTGTACAAAAGTAGGGCCTCTCCTTTTGCACCCCTTTACTTGTGCACGGGCAGTCAGGGCCATGCCCACGGCCATACTAAGCAGGGCAGAGGAGGGAAGCCGAAGCACAAGACAACCAAAGCAACACCAAGACCAGAGGGGCAAAGAGAGCAAGAGGGCGAGGTGGACTCCCCCGGCAAGACCCTTGCCGCGGTGGCTTCCGCAGCCTCACCAAGATCCTTGTCGGGGCAACTTGCCTGACG